AAAGGCATTCCCCTTGGTGCTGTCACTCCAGTGGATGTTCCTGATGGAGAGCTGCTCTCCAGCTGCCCTTTAGATCCTGGAAGGTGCTGTGAGATTTCCACACATCCTCCTCTTCTCCAGGCTGAACAGCCCCAGTTCTCCAGCCTGTCTCCCCTCTCCTTATTAACTCTGTGGCCTCCTCTGGACTTGCTCCAACACTTCCATGTCCTTATTCCTGTGCTGGGGCCAGAACTGTGCACAGGACTCCAGGCAGGCTCTCACAGGGGCAGAGCAGAGGGGGAGAATGCAGAGGAATGAGGACATGAGCATGTCCAGGTCAGCAGCCCCCAGCTCCAGCCAGCCCTCACAAAGGGGAGAACCTCGGGGCTGCCCCATTGCCAGGCAATGCTGCTGGCTCATCCCTGAATCCGTGCCTGCCCAAGCTGGCTGCAGGCTGCCCTGGGACACACTGCCTGGCCAGGCTCAGTGCCAGAGCCCCTCGCACAGGAACCAGCCCAACCAGACCGTGACACTCCGGATTCGCCGGGAGCTGACCCCGAGCCGGGCTGGCACAGCTCCCAAATCCCATCTCCGGGAGGCTCCTGGCAAAGCTGGGCAGATGAAGAGCTCATCCCTTTCCTCTGTTCCGAAGCACAGCCACTCCTGAGCTGTTTGCAGCCAGGTGATGAATTCATGCCCAGCTCGGGCACAGCAAGGCTGCAGGAGGAGAAGCCAGCTTGTTTTCCAAGGCCTGTTCTCCTCTCCAGGAGCACGGTGGACCCTGGGATGTATCACGAACAGCTGGTACCAGGAAGGTTTGCTTTTATTTGGAGTTGTGAGCACCCTTTGCAAGCAGCACAGTGTGCAAACCCTGATGACTCCCACCAGCCCTCCTTCAACTCTCGACACACCTCTCCTCCACAGATGACCCCATGTCACATCCATAAATTCATTTAATGTCCTTCATTTGATCACCCACACATCAGATGGGTGTCCACGCCATCCCTTGGGACCATCTGTGGGCATGGTCACCATGGGGATGGGGACAATCCCCCCCCAGCTCGGGAATGGGGACAGCTTCAGCCACGAGGCAGTGGCTTTTGGGGACCATATCCAGCCAGCATGGCTCAACACTTCAGCTTCATCCAAGGGGGACAAAACCTCCCAAATCAGGAGCAGTCTCAATCTTTTTGGGATGGAGTGTGCCAGGGAGAGGACTCTGCCTCCTTGGGAGGGTCAGCCCGTGCAGGCAGAGGAGCATCACAGTCAAAAACGCTGATGCAGGCAAATCCAGCATGCCATCAGGAGGAAGACTCTGCCCTCCCGACTATTTTTGGTTTGTTTTTGCCAACTCTGGAGCCACTGATCTATGATATTGTCACTGCTGTGACTAAGGGCTCTGCAGCCGGAGTAACATCGAGCCGGACTCGGAGAGAGGGATGAGCGTGGCTCTCGGGGGACCGGTAATGGGAGAGAGCCCTTCACCTCCTGTTTACACTTTAATGCCCATCCAGGTTATCCATTATTTATTGCTAATGTATTTATAGAGCATTACCAGCACTCACAGGGCTCTGCAGGCAGCTGGGGAGAAGGTGCTCTCTCCTTCGGATGTCGTGGTTTAAACAGAGCGGTTAAACACGCCCCGGGCTCTGTACCCAGCCCTGACATTCCAGAGGGGACATCCCTCCCCTCCTGGATCTTGTGGCTTTGCCACGAGGGAGTCCTTGTTTCCCTGCCGGGCTGGGGTAGCAATTTCTCCCTTGGGTCCTGGGCACAGCAGAGCCAAGCCTGGCTCCGGGCACCCCTAGCACTGTCACCTCGTGCCCAGGGAAGCCAGGGAAGATTTGGGGTGAAAAACCACCCTGGTGACTCCACTGCCTTCCCCTGCCCCCTCCTCTCCCTCCACCACCCTGCAGGAAGCAGCTCCGGGTTCTGTGGCCCCCTGGCCCTGCCCACCTGCAGCTGCCTTGGCAAGTCTGTGATGTTTAAATGCAAAAGCTTCGATACCATCTTAAAGCATGCACCAAATAGCTCAGCCGTGTCCAGTTCCACCCGGCTCCCTGCATCAGCACGAGGAATCCATCAGAGGGCTGGAGCACTGGCACTGGCCACTGGGCTACCAAAAGGAGCCACCTCATTGCCTAAGCAAGGAGCAGATGGGATCTGGGTGGTGCCAGCTGGGACACATGGACATGGGAACCGTGGAGCAGGAAAAGGAGGTGGTGTGGAGCATCCAACCAGCAGTGGGGCTCTGCCAATCCCAGGGATGAGCTCTTCCTGCAGGGATAACCATGGCCAGCCACAACCCACAACTGGGTTTCAAGTGGGAAACGTCAAAAAATTATTCCTTATATTCCAGCATTTTTCCAAGCATGCTCCTGCAGGGAAATGAGCAGTTCCAGTGTCACAGGTGTGAATTTTAAAGGGATGCTGCAGCGTGGGACACGGTGGGAGAGGAAGTAGAGCTGTGCTTGCACATCTCCAGGGTGCAAAACCAAAAATAAGCTGGGCCACCCCTGACGAGGGAGGAAGAGAAGCCATGTCACAGAGCAGGTGACCGCTGTGCCAGCAGTTACCCAAGACATGGCACAGCAATCAATTGTCCTTGGAAGCCTCCAGAAGATAACGAGGCAATGAGTAACGGTCTGTATGGAATTGTAGGAACAAATCACATCAGCCTGACCTAATCTCATCCTGAGACATGGCAATGGCAGATGCAATCTCCCGGCCCTTAACCACAGGAAGTCTTCAATGCTGCCTCAAATGCAGAATTATGGGCAGGGGGATGGTGCAGGAGACTTTCCAATCGATCCCAGCCCATCAGAGGTTTGACGGTCTGTACACAGCATGTTTGAGGGGCTCCGGGTTCCAGCATGAGCACTGGGAATGAACAACATCAGCCTGGTGGTGGATGCTGGGACCTCGGCAACTGCAGCACACACTGCCACAGCCCTGCTGAGCTGGATGCTGCCACTTCACCGCTCCCCAGCCAGCCCCGGGGAAGTCCAGGGTGCTTGCAGAAGGCAAGGAAGTCACCTTGGTGCCACCAGACAAGAGCCCCCACGCCCCCAAAGTCACCCTGCTGCAGTACAGCCCTGGAACACCCGTCCCCTCCACACCTTGGAGCATCTCCACCCTTCAGAGCCAAAGGGGTCAGCTGCAGACAGCCTCATGCTCTCCCATAACCTCCAACATCACTCACCCTCAGTGTTTTATGGCTTTTGCATCAGGAGGGAAGGTGCCTGCCTTTTTTTACGGCAGCTCCTTGTCCGAGGAGCCCGGAGAAGACTGAGAGGTGCCAGGATCTCCAGCTGGTGAGAGCTGCCAGGACCTGGTTCACCCGGCCTGACCTCGCCCACCCGCTGCCTTATCTCCCAGACTGCTATCAATCCTTTATATATAGCAATTAAATGTGATAAATGGGCTGCAAAGCGCTATTTTGGGCGAGAGGAGGCTCCATCTGGGAGTGCTGCAGTGCTGGCTCAGCACGACCCACTGCACACCTGGCTCTCCCCTGGTACTGCCCTGCCGTGGATGCTGCCCCACACTTACATTCGTGACGGTACACACATTCCTAAGTCTATTTCTATTCTCGCTGTTCCCAAGTCTACTTCTCTCCCCTGCCCCTCCACAAGCTTCCTTGATTTCTCTGGCTGCTGTCAGACACCGTCACTTTAAATAGAGAGTTTGCTCAGTTTCTGGGAGGGCAGCAAAGGGTGGTCAGGAGCAGCTCAAGCCACCCAGTCATAGCAGCATCCAGAATTTACCTGGTCCCTGTAAAATTCAGGAGAGCTTCTGGGAAAAGGAAGCCCAGTAAGAGGGGATATATTTTGAGGAAAAGGTCAGGATGTGAGATAAGGACAGGGAGGAGGAGAAAAATCAAGATCCACGAGACCCCCATCCCTGGCAGTGTCCAAGGCCAGGCTGGACGGGGCTTGGAGCAACCTGGCACAGTGGAAGGTGTCCCCGGCCATGGCAGGGGGCGGCACTGGATGCACTTCAAGGTCCCTTCCAACACAGACCAGTCTGTGACTCTGTGTGCCCAGGTTGTTTATTTAATGTGACCCCCAGCTCAGGTCCATGGAGGTATTTATTTAGGCACTGAGGGGGATCCAACTGCTGCTGCATCTGGCTCTGAACACAGCGCTCCCAGTCCCTGGCTGTGCATCCCTCCAGCATCCAAAAATCCCATGCCTACCCCTACACCATCCTCCAGCCCCGGGCAGCTCCCGGGATGCCAGTGGGGACCAAGCAGGCTTGGAAGCAGAGGGAGATAACCCCGCAATGCTCAGGGATGCTGCGGGGTGTCTGGTTTGTGGGGCAGGTCCGGGAATGGGGACCGGGGCTGGAAGGGGAGTGGGACAGCCCCTAGATCCTCCCCTGCTGGAGGAGAGCTGAGACAAATCCTCCCTGGAACGGCAGGGGTCCGAGGTAATTCCCCAAATCCTCCCGGGGGTGGAAAGACGCCGTGAGAGCCCCCATTCCCTCCCCAGGGCTGGGGGCGGCGACACACGGCAGCAGCCCCGCAATTCCCACCTTGCTGGGGAAGGACGGGACAGCCTCCAAATCCTCCCCGGGCTTGACGGGGACCGCGACATCGCCTAATCCCTCCTCGGGCAGCCAGAGGACCGCGCCAGCCCAGGTTCGGTGCCGAGTTCGGTGCCGGCTTCGGTGCCGAGCCCGGCTCAGCTCCCCCCGACGGCCGCTGCCCGCGGCGCTCCCCAGCCCATCCCGCAGCGCCGGGCAGCCCCGACCCGTCCCCTTCTCTTCTTCCTCCTCCTCCTTCTCCTCCTCCTCGCTCTCCTCCCCTTCCACCCCCCCCTCCCCGGCCCGATTTGGGCAGCGGCGCGCCCGGCGCTGCCGGCAGAGCCGCCGTGTGCGGGCGCGGCGCCGGAGGCAGCTCGGCCCCGGGGGCGGCTCGGCCCCGAGGGGCAGCTGGGTCCCGGGGGGCTGCGGCGAGGCAGGAGCGAGCCCCCGCAGCCCCCGGCACGTTCCCCGCGCTGCATGCCCGCGCCGGCAGCATGGCCCGCAGGCAGGCGCGGCCGGCGGGCGGCGGGCGCTGGCTGCCCTGGCTGGGGCTCGCCGTGCTGCCGCTGGCCGTGCCCCCCGCCGCCGCCCCCTCCGCCTGCCCCTCCGCCTGCCCCGCCGCCTGCTACTGCGTGGTCACCCCGGAGCTGCAGCAGTGCCGCTGCGAGCGGCTGGAGGAGCCCCCGAGGGAGCTGCCGGCCGCCGTGCACAACCTCAGCATCGCCGGCAGCAACCTGAGCGTCCTGGCCCGCGCCGCCTTCGCCGGCCGCCCGCTGCGCGACCTCCGCCTGCTCCGCCTGCGCCACGACAACATCCACACCATCGAGGACATGGCCCTGCAGGGCCTGCCCGCCCTGCGCACCCTCGACCTGAGCCACAACCCGCTGCTCTCGGTGGCCGCGGGCGCCTTCGCCGGGGCGCCGCTGCTGCGCACGCTGCAGCTGAACCAGGCGCTGCTGGCGGCCCCGCTCGAGGAGCAGCTCGCCCTGGCCATGCGCAACCTCAGCCTGCGGCGCCTGGAGCTGGCGGGCAACGCGCTGCGGGCGCTGCCGGCCGCGCTGCTGCCGCCCGGCCTGGAGGAGCTGGACCTGCGCAACAACTCCCTGCAGCGCCTGGCGGCCGCCGAGCTGCGCAGCCTGGACGGGCCGGAGCTGCGGGGGCTGCGCCTGAGCCTGGCCGCCAACCCGCTGAGCTGCGACTGCGGCCTGCGGCCCTTCCTGGCCTGGCTGCGCGCCGCCGCCGCCCGCGTGCTCGACGCGCGGAGCCTGCGCTGCGCGGCGCCGCCGGGGCTGCGCGGCACGGTCCTGCTGCGCCTGCGGCCCGAGGCGCTGGCCTGCGCCCTGCGCGACGGCGGCGAGCCGGGCCAGCTGGAGACCGCCTCCTACGTCTTCTTCGGCATCGTCCTGGCGCTCATCGGCATCGTCTTCCTCATGGTGCTCTACCTGAACCGCCGCGGCATCAAGCGCTGGCTGCACAACCTGCGCGAGGCGTGCCGCGACCAGATGGAGGGCTACCACTACCGCTACGAGCAGGACGCGGACCCGCGCTGCGCCGGCACGCCGGGCCTCTGAGGGCATCCCCGGCCTCTGAGGGCACCCCGGGCACCCCTGGCCCCTGAGGGCACCTTCGGCCTCGCCCTCGCCCCTCGACGCCTCCGCCCCGGCCCGTCCATACCGTCTCCGCGGCTCCACCGAAATTCGTGCTCCGACCACGAGCCGGCCTCAGGGCGGGAGCCGGGCTCGCCACAGCGGGGTGACCCCTCCGGAGGGCCCCGGTGCCCGCGGGCAGGGGCGGCGCGGCCCCGCCGGGTGCTGGCGTGCACGGCCCCGGCGCTGCCGGAAGGTTCCGGAAGGTTCCGCCTCCGGTGCCCGTGCGGCCGCGGGCAGTACCTGACACCGGCCTAGGGACGTTCCTAGAGCCTGGACCGGACTGTCACCATGTACAGCTCTCTTTCCTATTAGATTTCTATTCCACAGGTGCGAAGTTCAACTCGATTTCTTTTCTTTCCCCCCCTTTTTTTTCGCTGCAAAGAGGAGAACGCATCGTCCAGCTGCTCCCCCTGGGAAGCGGCGTGCTTTTCCGAGCCCGTTTATCCATTGAGGTCTGTTGGATGGCATTTCCAGCTCGTGCTAGGCACAAGGCCATGCAGCTGTAGGAGACGCCGCGGCCGGCTGGGTGCATGTTCCCCGGGGCCGGCGGGGACAGCCCTTTGACTCTAGATAGAATGTAGCGTAGACCTGGCTGTCTCGACACCTTGTAATTTCAAACGAGCCAAGCAGAAGCTGCCGCCCTAATTCCCCTGCCCGTGTTTGCTTTAGTGCCTGTTATTATATCCTAGAGCAAATATACTGAAAGCTGCACCCACTCCATCGTCTATTTTCTATAAAGCTCCTTGCAAACGATTTCCGAGTATCCCCGTGGCTGAGGCGAAGTTTCTGTGGTTGGTTTGCCGGAGCAGGGGAGCTCTGGGCTCCCCTGTTTCCATCGGTGCTTAGGAACTTCTCTTCCTGAGCTGCTGTGCTGGCCGGGGATGCAGAGGGCTTGTGTGTGGTTTGTGCACAGATCTCAGGCTCTGCCAGCCCTCATCCTTCGCTGGCAGCAGCACAGAGGCTCAGGAAAATTATCCAGGTAGCAGTTTTCTAAAGCAGTTATTGTCTCCCGGGTGGTTTGGTGCCTAATTCATGAGGTGCCAGAGCGCTGAGCATCCCCGGCCGCGGGGCTTGCCCAAAGGAAAGCTGCAGCTTGGGGAACGTGGCATCTCAAAACGCGGAGTTTGGGTGCTGGCATGAAAACTGGAGCGTGGCGTGGTGCTCCATGTGTGTTTGCCTTTGTGAGAGCGGGAGGCTGATGCCGGGGTGCTGGGGGATGCTCGGGAGCAGCTGCTGCCCGGCCTGCTGGGGTGGAAGTGACACTTGTATAGGAGTTGTGCTCCTGGAGCCTGGCTGCGTGTGCGCTCTGCTGCCAGGTGCAAAGATTGTTATTTCCATCCCGGGGGGATGCAGCCTGCTGCAGGATCCTTGGCATTTTTCCCCTTTGAGCTTCCTGCCCTTGAAATGCCAGTACCGAAGAGGGAAAGGAGAGTGGGAGCAGAGCCTGCACCGGGCTGTGTTCGAGTAGGGATACAGCACGGGGAACCAAAATGAGTTTCCTGGTTGCTCTGAGCTGGTCCTACTGAGCAGGGGAGCTGGTTCCCCACTCTATCCTAGCTCTTGAAGAATCCTGAGATCCCCACAGCTCAGCTCATTGCAAAACTTGTTGCATTTTGAAGACCTTTTCCTGAGGTTTTCCCCCCATCGTAGGAGCTTGTGGGCTCCGGTGCCACCTTGTAACTCCCTGCAATCAGTTACATGGAGAGAAAAGCGAGCCTGCCCTCACCTTCATCCCCTTCCCCAGGGCTTGTTGGAGCAGGGAGAAGCCTGGAGGGAGCAGGAGAAGCCCAGGCGGGGTTGTTGGAGCAGGGAACAGAGCTCCAGTCTGGCAGCAGGCGCCAGAGCCCAGCGATAGACAACAGGAAGGAAATCGCCTCCAGGCAAAGCACAAGTGGCCAAACACGCCCTGACCCCAAAGCCCTTTCTCTGGAGGGCGGGCTGGTGTGGGCAGCTGGTTCCTCCAGCTTTCCCTGAGGCACGAGGGAGGGAGTTGATGGCTTTGGGTCCCCGGGGATGAGGGAGCATCCTGTCCCTCCAGGCTGGGTGCAGTGAGACCCCTCCAGGGATGCCAAGCCCCCTCAGTGACGTGCAGGGGTTGGGTGGGGGTGGAGAGGCAGCTGTGGGAGCACAATTCTTGTGGCTTGTTAGCATCAATAATATTCTGTACAGCACATACCCCACACAAGACGAAGGAGCAGGATCAGGGATCCTCTGGATTAGGGCATTGTCACCCTATGAGACTCAGAATGTGCTTTTTGGGGTCCAAAAGGCCACCCTGTGTTTGGAGAAGCCCAGCTGCCATCACGTTTGCATGCAGTCCCTCTCCATGAAGGAATGTGCAGCCCCAGTGTCTCAAAGCCATGGCAGGAGCTGCTGCCTGAGCAGAAAGTTACTCCAGCAGCTCCTGGAGCCAAAGGAAAGGCAGGATAGAAACAGCATCTGTGGTATGAACCAAGCAAAGCATGCTCAGAGCCCCCTGCGGTGGCTCATACTGAAACAGAGGGGGGAAAAAAGCCAAAAAATGTCTATTTATATACCCTGCATATGAAATACCACCAGCGCTTTGCAAACAGCACAGGCTTTGGGATCTGCTTTTCCTTCCTTATTTTCCAAAGCTCAGATGTCCCCTGGGCCCATCCACCTGGCAGGCAGGAGGGTTTGGCTGGGGAGGGGGATGTGGGTGCAGCTGGAGCTGGGATTGGAGCTGTTTTGGGGGCTTGTGTCACCAAATCAGGGTATCCCCCCTGAGCCCCAGGGTGCTCTGTGGTGCCCAGGGCTGTAGCAAAGAGGCTGAGCGTGGTCTCCTCTAGTGCAGGAGAAGCCAAAACTCCCAGCATGGTGGGGGCAGCTGGATTTATCCAGGAGAAATAACTGGGCTGGAGCATCACCCTTGTCCTTGGTGAGCACAGGGTGTGGTGCTCCTGCACTGGGGCAGGGAGGAAAATCAGCCACGAGCTGCCCTGTCCATACAGAAACACAAAGAATTAAAAATTAATTCTCCCCACGCAACTTCACCCCTGAGAATCTACACACCAGGCTCCTTAGTCCTCACATTTCTTCCTCCACTACAAATTAACCCAAACCTTCAGTGGGAGGAAAAGCACCCTCTACTTCTCATTGACTCCTTTAGGAAAAGCAAGACAAGGACATGACCCTCATACCTTGGGGAAACTGAGGCACAAGCAAAGCAGGATTGAGTTCCTGGTAACAGAGAAGGGTTTGCACGGGGGAAAAACCCCACAGAAATGGATTTCAGTGCACAGCAGAGTTCACTTGAAACACTGGGCAGCTTTGGGACCACCACACTCAGGACTATGGATGTTGCCAATTAGCCAGGCTGGGATAGTTCTGGGTGATGGGGACTCCTCACCGAGCACTGCCCTGTCCCCAGCAGCAAGGAGGGGACTGGAGGTGACACCACCAGGGATCAGGGCACTTTTCCTGAGGGACAGGGGGCTCAGGGAGCTGGTCAAAGCCCCTGAAACGAGCAGAGCTGTGTGTTTTCACCAAGCCCAGCTCCAGGCAGCCCCTCAGAGCTGGCACAACACTGCCCAGGCAGATGGGGAAGGACGTGTTTCCACTAATCTGCCCCAATCTGGATTATTTTCCAAATAAACCTCCGTTCCCAGCTGTTTCAAGCAAGTTTTTGGCACGTTGGGGACAGGTGGGAGTCTGGGGGTGAGGGAGAAGCTGGCAGGGGTGGAGGAGAGGGTTTTGGCAGCACACAGTACCCACATCCTTAGGCTGAGATCATCCCATGGGGCCTCAGGTCTTCGCTGACGTTTCCTCCTATCAAAAGCCAGTGGAAAACAACTTACCTCGGGGGCCTGGTGTCCCCACCTCATGTCCCATCCAGAGCAGAGCTGGGATCCTCTGCAGCTCCTGTCAGGATAAAACCCCAGCCCAGAAGATGCCTCTGGTGCTGGCTGTCCAGGGTGATGCACATCAGCCAGTTCTGGGGGTTTGGGGGTTTCAGGGAGCCAGGATCAACCCCGGGCACAGCAGTCAGGTCTCTGATCGTGCCTAAGGACACACGGTCCTGCTGAGCTGCTCCATCCTCCCAGCACGTTCCCACTCGCCAACCTGACATTTACAAATCCCTATTTTTAGATGATCTTCATCTCTTCTAATTGTTCAGGCTCCTCAGCCTCAGAGAGGCTGCTCTGCATGGGCAGGACCCGTCCCTGAGCCCATTTCTCTCTTGCCCCATGCCTCAGTTTCCCTTCTGGCAACCTGCAATTGAGGGTCTCCCCTTGACTCTGGGGGCCAGGGTCTGGGGGCTCTTGGTCCCACTCCCACCCCAGGTGGGATTTCAGGTGCTCCAGCACTCTCCATGCACCCAGACTCCTCAGCTTTCCCCCAGAACAGGGCAGAGGGAAGCACCCAGCCCTCCTCCCTTCACCACCGTGCAGGGCACCATCCACCCCCTCCCACAGCAGGGAGCAGCCAGGCAGGATGAATCCAGGAGGGATTCAGCCCGAGATGCCTCAGGAGCCTGCACAGAGCTGAGCCCAGGGGACAGCCCACACGGGTGGGAATTAATTTGGTTACTGAATTAACATTTTAATTGACAAGACCTGAATGTGAAGCCAGGCACTGCTGCCTGCCAGGACTCATCAGCTCCCAGCTCGATGTCCCCAGGTCCTGGAGCTCACTGAAGGGACACTCCAGGTCCCAGCTCCCCAACAGCACCAGGGGAGAGCTCAGTGCCAGCCAAAGGAGGAGGCTCTGAACAGTCCCTTGTGCCCAGGCCTTATCCAAGTGGCACGTGGATATTCCTCCAAGCCCAACTCAGCTTGTGGGGCAGAAGTGTTTGGCTAAAGAAGACAAAGAAACTTGGATTGAGACTACGAAGAGAATATTTTATTACTTATAACACTTCATTCAGCTAAATCCACATAGCATTACACAGAAACTCTCCAGAAAAGTGCAAATTCTCACTCTGTATTTGTAATACACCCTAGTTTTACAGAACAGACATCAGGTAAACAGGAGTACAGATCCAGAACTCCCCAAGGTTCCAGGCAAGGAGAACGATGCAACTCGAGGTACTTCAATCACCTTGTACAAAGCCATTCTTGAGCAGAGGGAATCAAGCTGGACTGTAACCACCCAGGTGTCACCATGCAAGGAGCCCCCTCTTCGTTGGGGAGAGGACAAAAAGGGGGAGGGAAGACAAAACAAAGTGATACCAGTATCAGGTTTAAAATTAGAGCCCATCCAGGTGCTTCCTAAAGCAGCACACACACCCCAGCCTGCCCAAGGGACAGAACCCATCGTTCCTCTGCTGGCTTCCACCAGAAGGTCCCAAAACACATCTCCTGTAAGGAAAGGGGAGCTGGAACCCCCAGTAACCTCAGGAGCCCGGCAGGGAGGGCACACAGTGCTACCTGACAGCACAAGGGTGCGTTTCTGCTCCTCAGAAGGAAGGGCTGGGTATTGAAAATGAGGGAAATGAGCAGAGCTCCTGCAGCCCAGGGCAAGCCCAGCTCCTTGGAGCCACATCCTGCTGGGGACACAAGGGAAGCAGCACTGCCCAAGACAAACTGCAGCCCAGCTCTCCCTGTTACACACCTTCCCTCCTTCCCTGCCTCACCGGAGTTGGCAGTTCCCTCGCACACCCTCAGAGGGGCAGCAGGAGACGTGGACTGCACTGGCAAGTATTTAATCCACACCCTGGAGGCTCTATGACCATCTCACTAAGAAATGCAGCTACAAGCTCAGCCTTGCCTGGCAAAGCCCTGAACTAGGAAAGCTCCTGTCCCAGGCCCACAGAAACCTGACTTCAGCACAGACATTAAACCTGTCACAGCCAAGGGACAAACCCAAGCCCTCCAGATTGCATCCACCAATAAACCCCACACGCTGGCTGCACGAGCACAGCTTTAGCCACTGCCCAACCTTGGAAAGGTGTTTTACCTGGAAGCACCTGGCAAACAACATCCACAGCATCCTTTGATCTGTGATTTGCTTTCTACTCAAGTTAGAAAAGCCTTTGTTCTTATCTGACAAGTGGGAAAGAACAGCTGACAACTCCAGGAAGGTTGTGCACAAACCAAGTAAACTCTAACACGATGCATAACAAAGTTACAGGGCAAGGAAACGAGAATTCCAGTCCTTCACAGTAACAGAAGTAAGGGATGTGAGATCAGAGGGAGGAGATAAAGGAGTTCCACAAATGGAACAGTATAAATATATCAAACAGTTCCAATACAGTAGGAAAACAACAGTAGCAGCAGTTTCAAAACAGCAAATAATTATTCTACCCTGAAAGTACATTCAACACGTTGTTCCTGCTGCTGTCCTCCCAAAAGCATCACTGCAGCTACAGCTCACTGTCAAACCTGCCCATGGGGAAAATCCCAGACACAGAACACCCCACAGCTGGCTCTTCTTTAATTAAAGATAGACTATCAACAGTTACCAGCTCCCAACAATGCTCATTTGAAAACATTTTCTCCATTTCTAGCACTTGCCTACTGACACAAAGCAGATCTCTGGGGAGCTGCAGATTCCTGCTCTTTGCAGGAGCACAACCATCACTCACAGATGGGACTGCTACAACAGCACACAGCCGGGCTCATCACACACACACACCCTGCTTTTTACAGTGTTTGTTCAAAAATTACATCCCAAGTCACTTGTTTTCTTCACTACTTGGAGAACAAAATCCTCAACGCCTCAGGGTTTCATCTGCTGCCAGTGGAAGGAATGGCAAGAGCTCCTTCAGCTTCAGTGCAGTGGTGATGCAGATCTGCACCCTTGTTGCAGAGCTGAAGGCAAAGCAGCAGTCAGCAATGCAATGCCAGCCCTACCCAGCACAGACAACAACAAAAGCATCCTCTAACTGGGTTTACCTGTTTTCCCCACCACGTCAGTCAAATGTACAATCAAGGTAAAAAAACCCGAGCTTTTGGCATTAGGTACATTTCACTCAATGGCAGAACAATTCAGAGATACTCTCTTAAAATAAAAAAAAAATAAATAAATAGCAGTGACAGGTCAGAATTTGTGCAACACAGACCTTCTCGAGTACACGTACATTCATAGACACTGAAATACTTCTCCATGGATATAGTGCAAAGCTGCTGGCAGCAGGAAACCCCCAAACCTCAGGGCTCTCTGAAGCCATGGAGAGGCAACACACAAACCTACCCTGTGCCATCCTATGGCATCCAGCTGCAGGGGCATCATCAGAGGGAGGATCAATTTGGAGAGGCAACAATAGTGGCAAAACAACAGCTTGAACTCCAGAGCACCTTGGGGTCTTCTCCCATCATCTCCAAACACAGACCAAACCCAATTGCTGCTGCTGCTTCTCTTTACTTGCTGTCAGTGACAGCAGGGAGCTGTCCAGAGCCAGCTCTCCTGTGCCACAACAGTGCCTTGACTGCCCAAAACACAACAAAACCACAAGGAGAGCCTGAGTATTGGTTTGGGTGGGGTTGTTTTGGAAAAATGTCATTAGCAGTCTCATTTGCTACTTGAGCAAAGGGAAAAAACAAGTGAGAGAAGCTGGTACCAATTCACCCTTAAAGAATAATATTTGCAAAGTGCTATTTTAACAAATTACCTGACAGGACATGACCAACAAGAATTTTAAAAGTCACAATGTAGCAACTGTGCCAGTCTCTCATCTCCACCTGCTTCCTTGGTGGTTTTTTTTCTTTAATACACAGACAATATAAATTCAGGCCAGCAAAAACTAAGAAGTCACTGACCGGCATTTTCATTCAAAGTAATGAATGCAGAAAACCAAGAAAGCTTAAGACCCTTCAGAGATGTGGGACAAAAAGTAACTACAGAGGCTATGGTAGTCAGAAGGGGCAAATTTACCAAGTTCCTGCTCCTTTGGAAGCCTTGGAAAGGCACCAGGCAACTCCAACCCCAAGCTGCAGCTGTTGCCACTATTGTATCACTGCCAATTATTTTAAGACACACAGAGGAAAGCTACAAAGTCCAAGAACACCTTTACCAACAGAGTAATTGTTAAGTAGCTGAAAAACGTCAACAATTTGCTAAACAAGAAATGCTGAGCTCTGCTTTGATGCTGTTGGAAATGCAGACCTGTAGGGAAGGTCTCTGAGAGCTGCAGGGAAGAAGCAGCCTTGGTTGTCAGTTTGGAGTGATCACTCCTTTAAAACTTGATTTTCACACACCAAAACGAGGTGTTTTAGGTACCTGAACTGAGCTTAAGACAATACTGGCAGCTAAGCTCAGCTGCCTCAAAGGTACTAGGGCAGTTCATTTGCATTGGTGTGGGTTAATTCAACTTTTGGTCAAAAGGACTGAAAACTGCAACAATAAACTCTACCCTTTCCTCTGACCTCCTCTCCTCATCCCAATTTGGTGAAAAGCCTGACAAAAGAATGCTTCTTCTTACAGGAAAAGAATGCAGCTGTTTAAAACACACACACACGAGGATGAGACTGGTTCTGCTCCTGGGTCCTTTGTTCCACTCGGTGCCCCCCGGGGCTCTAGGCAGAGCGCCAGGTCAGCCCGTTCTTGGCAGGCTCCAGGAAATTCTCAATCAAAGCCTCAATCAGCTTCTGGAGCTCTTCTTCCAGCACACCTCTGTCACTGCAGGAGAGAACAGGGCACCGTCAGAGGGTTGGGAAACACACCGACATAAATCAACAGCACGACCTGGAGGGGAGGGACTTGCTCGGTTGCGTTTCGTACTCCTGCAGGTGTAGAGACTCCAAACTGCCCGGTTCATCAGGCTCCTTTTCGGCATGCAATCACACAGTGGCTTGGGTCGGGAGGGACTGTTAAAGATGGTGCCCAGAGCCCTCTAGCGGCCTCTTTCTTCAATTAAATTATTTTCAATTAATGCTGCAATAGCCAGCTGGGGAGGCCCTGGCACAGGCTGCCCAGAGCAAATGTGGCTGCCCCACCCCTGGAGTGTCCAAGGCCAGGTTGGAGCAACCTGGGATAGTGGAAGGTGTCCCTGCCCATGGCAGAGGGGTGGAATTAGATGGTCTTGAAACAAAAACCACTCCATGATGCCATAATAGAAGATGTTTCTGGGGTGGAAGCATACCCTGGATATCTCCCCCCACCCCTTTTAAACGGGAAGAAGCTCAACCCAGAGTTCCTCTCTGGCAGCTCAGAGTAACACAGCAGATTCCCAGAGAGGGGGAACCCACCTGGCTGCAAACACACTCAGCAGCACAAGCTCAGAAGAGAAAAGCCTGGACGTGACACTCAGGGCCCTGCGCTGGTTGGGCACAAGTTGGACTCTGCCATCTGAGAGCTCTCCTAGCCTGAACAAGTCTGTGACTTTGTCACCTGGTGACATTTAACTCCAAGGAGAAGGGTTTGCTAAGGAAGGCCGGTGCAGGAGGTGCTGACAGCCCCCCGTGAGTGAGAGCCCCTGACCTGTGCCCGGGCAGTGCACACATCTCAGCGTAGTATTTGATCTTGGGCTCGGTGCCGCTGGTGCGCAGCGTGGCCACGCAGCCGTTCTGGAAGGTGAACGTGATCATCTGGCTGCTCCTGCTCACGGGCAGCACCTGCAAAACAGCAGCAGCCCCTTGGCCCACTGGGACAGCACCTGCAAGCTCAGGAGCTGCAGGCTGGGTGAGTCCAAGGTCATTAATCATTGGATCAGACTAACAGCACATTGCACACCCCCTCTGCATTTCCCTTGGCATTGCTGCAGGAACCCTCTGTAACTCACTGCCCTGTGGTTCATTCAGCTGGCTGCTGTCACAGCCAGTGGTGATGCCTCCCATTGCACACCCACCTCTGCATTTCCCTCTCAGCCCCTGCAGGCTGTCCCCTGCGGGAACCCTCTGTAACTCACTGCCTTGTGGTTCAGCTGGCTGCTGTCATAGCCAGTGGTGATGTCTCTGACGTGTAAGATGTTGTAAACCCCACAGCATTTGGGGTAACACTGAGGGCCATCCAAGTTCCGCAGTCTCTCAAATATCCTTTTGATAGTGGCAGGATCATAGCACAGGAAATAGGAAGTCTTGGATATGTGATAGCCATACCTACAAGCAGATGAATGTTTGCAGTTGGAAGATTTTGGCACATTGGGTACCCAAGAGATCTCAGGACAAGGCTTACTTGTGACAAACACAATCCTTGTTTTATGGCTGGGCTTGTGTTCACAGCCATTCCTTCCACCTCTGCTCTCTTACAGATCCCTTCTGGCAGTGGGAAGCCATTCCCTGAGTCCTGTCCCAACTCCCTCTCCAGCCCTCCTGGAGCCCCCTTGGGATATCTGCACTAGGGATGGGCTGTACTCCATCCTACATCACAAAACCCCTCAATGACTTACAGTGAGAAAACACGTGAGGGACACAAACACCCATATATGATCATTTCTATTTAAATACATATTCCTTAGATTATTCCCAGCTCTCAAGCAGTGCAGTAGAATACTCCAACAAAAACCACCACTCACGTTTCATAAATGTCAACGAGTTTCTGTGCCAAGGTCAGGTTCTGGCCCTGCAGGTAAGTTGCCATTTCAGCAATGACCACAGCTGCACTCACTCCATCCTTATCCAGCACTGATGTGCCACACATGAAGCCTGGGAAGAAAAAAGGGATTGTGGAAAAATAACCTGGCAGATTATTACACTGATTTACTTGACTGAAGATTTAACCTTTGATCCTGAAAAGGAAGATTGGCCTGCACGTGGAAGCTGCTTTATTGCTGCATATGCAGGAGAAATCTCATTACCTTGGGGGTTAGAGGGCTGGAAAGATAAGCACAGCACCAGAATCAGCAAGTCAGATACAATTTATTAGGGGAGTTGGCAAGTCAATTTGATGAGAGCAAAATATCAATGCTATTAACTACTAGGATAAAAATAAAGGACTCTGTGTGTGTTTTATTTCATAACTAAAATCAGTCCATTCTATTCACATTCCCCCCTCGGGTCTCAAGAGTTTAAATGGTTACCAGCACTCATACCAATAGACTCCTCAAATGCAAAGAGAACTTCTTTTCCATTATCTAGGAGATTTTTTACTCTGCTTCCAATCCATTTAAAACCAGGGAGTGTTTCCTAAAACAGGAAGGGAAAAGAGTAATTAAAATCCACAATTTCAATTTAGTTTCAATCCAAAGGAAACAAAGTATAGCCACTGTTGCTTTCACTTCAGACTAAAAAATAAAACCCAAAGAGAAAAATCTAACAATGTATTTTGACTTTTAAGGCCAACAGGAAAACTGCCGCAGAGTCAAAACACTAAAGCTTAAGGATGCTTTTCTGATTTTTTTGAAATTATTTCCTTAAATTTAAATCTAATGAACTGACAAGCAGAAGAGGGACAGCACAGAAGCATCAGACAAGTCCTATGTTCAGTTAGGATGACGAGTCCAAGGCAAAGAGCCACTGGATAGCATTTTCCTAGTGGATACTCAACTAGGACATGAGTAGCACACCAAGGAAAAAGCGTGTCAGGGATGTGGTGCTCTGAGATCACATCAGATCATCTGTGCTGCTCATCAGATGAGACACAGTTACTGAGGAGGAAAAGCTACAGAAATATCAAAGCAACACTTTTGGGTGCTGGGAGGGGAGAGCACTGTGCTGGGCTTTTCTACATAAATCATGCAAAACCAATCAAAAGCTTCAAAACAGTGGTTTTTGGAGAGGAGGAAGTTACAAATAAAAATGAGGGGGAGCTTTTAGAGAAGGCCAAGAGGTGCTGTAAATTCCTAGCTTCTCTTTTTCTTTCAGTCAAATATGTCCTTGTCCAATTTAAAAAAAAACCCAGTATTTAGAGAGAACCAAATCCACCACAAGGAACTGATGGTTACCTCGATTAGGCTTATCTGGCCAGTCACCCAAAATGGTTTTCACAGTTGCTTTCAGTTTGAAATTCCTCATTCTTTGGAAAAATATTTATTCCTATTGCACACGGATTTAATTAATATGTGGATAAATGAGGCCTGGCCCTTTATGTTTGTGCTATGATTTTGGGCAGTTACTTCTCTTCTGGCTAGCATCCAACAGAAATCAGATTTAATTTGGATGTAGGAACTAAACTGTTAGTCTGGAAGGAGCACCCCAGTTGGTTTTCCAGCAAGTTCTTAAAGCTGCATTAAAGATTTGGACACAAGAGTTCCTCTGCCTTTCCCCTACCTGAAATAAATCCAAATTCACCTGAAGGGCAATTGTGCAACCTCCAAGTGCTCATTACAAACCCATCAACATTGAGAGTGAAGAGGCAGGCTGCACCAACCTCCCTCCTCTCACACAGCACAGCTTCTCTCTGGGGAGATAACAGGAATACCTTAGCCCTGGTTATCGGGAATTCAGGTGCTCATTCATGTCCCTGTTACTGAGCTTTGCCCAGCTTTCTCCCAGCCTGAGAACATTGAGGAGATAGAAATCAGGCTTGTGTGGGTGAAAGAACATTCTCTGCCACTGGGAATCCCTCAAAACTCCCAGCCAGGAGCCTGGAGCTCAGTCCCTGCCTCTTTCTGCTTCCCTGAGGTCACCAGCGAGGCTTCAGATGGAGAAAACAACACAAAACCCACACTCACCTCGAAGTGAAATCCCTCTTTGAGTGCAATTGCCCTCAAAATCTTGGAGGAGACCGTGGTTGCCAGCATGTAAACGTTCTTCACATCAGCATCTGGAGAGCACTTCTCCTTCCAGCAGGAAAACATCCACCAGCCAAACAAGGCAGCCAGCTCATTGCCCGTGAACACCTTCCAGCAGCCACTGTGGGGAGAGCAGCCCTCACTCCCTGAGCACCCAAGGGGAGCAGTCCTGCACTCCCTGAGCACCCAAGGGGAGCAGCCCTGCACTCCCCGAGCACCCAAGGGGAGCAGCCCTGCACTCCCCGAGCACCCAAGGGGAGCAGCCCTGCACTCCCTGAGCACCCAAGGGGAGCAGTCCTGCACTCCCTGAGCACCAGGATATGAGCACAGCACTGAGAAGCTGCTCTAGGCAAAGCCACCATACTGACAGGACTGCACACTCACCACACCT